CACGCAAAATTCCTGGTAGTCGTAGACTGATGAAAAATAATTTATCGGTGATCTATGTAACAGTGTAATAAGGTGGTCTCAATTATTCACGCAGCACTGTATTTAACACCCTTCTGTCATAACCATATGAGTTCGAAAGCGAAAAACCGCTCAGCCGGGAAATGCGTGGAATCTCGTAAATGCAAGAAAAACTTGGGTTTCACTATTGCATGCCACGATTTCAGAGGTCCTTAGCTGAGAATTTGCTAACTTCACCCAGGCTCACATCTCGTTAAATGATTGGCTTAATGATGTGATCCGAATTGAAATTTGAAGCAGTAATGCTTGATGACTATTGATGAGACTTTAATCTGTATTGCAATACGAAGTAACGCAAACCGAATCTCCATCAAGCATAAACATGTCATGCCTTTATTCCGAATGCTTTCTTAAGACGACGCTCGAACTTCATTAGATCCCTTCATTATTATTTGAGCCAACATGTCATATGGTCTGGTAAGGGCGCTTGTACAGCTCGATACACGTGTTTCGAGTTCTGTCCGACTGACGAGACTGTAAGGTCGTGATAGTGTACGATGCCTTGGAATGGCGTAGTGGCGGTTTGAGTTCATGAGACAAGAATAGCAGATTGATTGGCTCGTGTCTCAGCAATGCTACTACTTCACTCATATCTTCCCATGCTTTTTATCTTTTTACTTGAAATAATTCATTAACAATAGTAGGAATGTGATTGTTGAATGCTCCATAATGATCTAGCTTTGACAATGGTAATAGTGGAGGGTTTGGCGGATATCTTCGCTGACACCTTGTTGAACCTTTAGGCAATTACCAGCGACTACTAATCCGTCGCTCTAAAGGTTTCTTAGATATCTCAAAAACGATATACTCTTATCATTCGAGACATTCTCTCGTTGTTGACCATCACGTCTTTAGAATCTCAATCATCTACTGTAAGATTTTTGCTCACAACGACATGGTGCGATGTGAACCACTATCACAGGACTACTGAGATACAAGCAAAACTTTGCATATGACGTTTTATGTAATTTCTCGAGCCGCATTGCTGTGTAATAACAATCTGTAAAGGCGAAATCACAACTTAACCTGATTCGTATTTTTTCCTACGGGTTTTTGTTATCAAAGTATTAAGCACCAAAGCTGATGCAGAGTCATCTCATAGGAAACGCAATGTCCAATACCTGCGATCCTTTGTTTTGTGCATTAGTGACATTACCATTGCTCTCAGCAGCGCAAAACATGTTGACAGTCGTCTCTTTGTATATTTTTGAATGAATTTCGATCCTTTTGCCATTTTGCCACATAATATTATACCATGAGATTTACCTAACACGCAACTTTCAAATCTGCAACAATATCAGCTGCAATATTTGCCATATATTTCAACAGAAGTGAATTCATTGGTCGTCGCTCAAATGTCCTATGCGGGAAGGTTTTGACGAGAGCCTTGAAGTTTTTTTTTGGTGCAGTGAGGATGATTATGTTTTCCCACTGCGCATTTACCCAGCATCGCATTACTCATTCCCTCCCAAAGTAGAAGCTGACTGGAAGAAAAAGGGTGCATTTGAAATGGTTAGATTCGCATGGAGGGTAGGTAGTGTTTGTGGACAGTCTCACACAGAAGAGTAACTCTTTCGCAACAACTTGACGAATATTTCAGCACGCTCTAAATGCTATTGGGTTATAAGGAGATTCTTTGAAAACCGGCTACCTAGGACGTCAAGCAAAGATTCAAGATACTCATAGTCATATGAAAATCCATGACCAGTGAGTGGAGCTGAAAAATTATTTGTCACCGTCCAACAGAAAAGTATTGATATTTTCATAAAAATATCACCCATGTGCCCATGTTCCAACGAAAAAACCACACCGTTTTGAAAAGCAACGTATTTCTAGCAACCGTATGACATTTGTTTCATCTTGCATCTATGTTTCTGTAATCATCTGATAGCTTGAGAAATGCCAATTCTGCAACTAGGCTGATCTTCTGAGAAGATCTTCACACTTAATTCTGTAACGAGTAGAGTATTAAATTTCGCTCCCGAAGTCATTGTATCGACTTCACAGCGGATTTTCTAGTACTCATATAGTAAAACTTTGCTTCTAAGTAGACCTTATCGCTACAGAAAGATTGGACATTACTATCTTCTTTGGACGTTTTTAGCTAAAACAACGCCCATATAATCTAAAATTTCTCACATTCTGTTACGAATTACATCAAGTTTCCTATAGAATGTGCTCGTTTCATTGGCCTTTTTACCAAATAAAGCTTCCTCACTAGATGATTAGCACTCATTTGATGACGCTAATCTTAATTTTTGATAAAGTTCGGGACCATGTTCTAGCATCGATAGAATTATTATGTCTTGTGATTCCATTGTGTTGGTTCATTTCCACAGCACTTCTGTAGTAAAATATCCTTTCTAGTAAAACTTCGTTGCTACGAGAAGATGAATATTAGTGGAGGGACTCTTACAGATCACAATCCTAAATCTTGTCGGAGCTATGAAGAAATGAGTAGAACACTCAAAAATAGTACGAATAATCAATGACAACGATTGCAGCGATGAACGAGCGAGCAGCATGGATATATATAGAGTTAACAGTCAGAAAACGATAGAACGAAGTTTCTTCCATGACTCTATAGAAGTATCACCTCATAAACGTAGAAATAATAAAATAATTGTCGAGTGATATCGATGGAGAGGTATCGCATGCAATGTGTAATACCATTTTGATCAAAAATCAACTGTTTTGCAATTGTTTCGACATGTCCGGACCAAAGAAAGAGCTATTGAAGCCTCTTTCGTGAATTGTGCTATTTACTGACCATAACTCTCTTTATTAATGAAAATCATGAAGTTCATCACAAAACTACAACATTATGAACGTAACGCGTCGCATTTGGACAACCAAAACTCAGTAGCTTCAGTTATTCACAAGCCACTACCGAAAAACATGCCATAATCAACTGAATTAAAATTATCAAAAGCTATTGGGATGGTTCGTTTCCGTTATACGACACGACTCTTTAAAGGAAGATTTTCCGCTGGCCGAAGGCTTTCCGTTGATCTTACGGCAATCATTTGAAAACTAAGGCTCAAGAAACTGCTACATGCATTTTTTAGGTCTTCTTAAAACGCTATGATACTGAAAATAAAGTCGTTCTACAACGTGTTGCACGTTTTTCATGTTTTTCTCCGTTCATGCTCGTATTTTTCGCGAAACAAACCTCTTTTCTTAAACTGCTAGTAATCGTTCAATTGCACAAATCTTGGAAAATTCAAAAAATTGCCTGCTTTTGCAATCATACACATGCGTTTCTCGCTGAATAGAGCTCTTCCCTTAAATTATAAGTAACCATTCGACAGCGCAAGCTTCGGCGATTTCAATGTTGTACTTATTTTCTGAAAAGACCGTCTCACTATAGTGCGGCAGGAAAACCAAATTGAGCTTCAAAAACGCATTGCATGTCCACTGTGCCACGTGATGCCTGTGTATCGATAGCCGCGATCGATAGACCGTATAGGTCTCGTAATTATTATTTGAGCCTACATGTCATGTGGTCTGTTAAATGGGCTGACTTATAGAACCCAATACACGTGTTTCGACCTCGACGGTCTCAAATTTGAGCGTAGTCCCGAAAAAGCACTCGAAGCGAAAGATCGTACAGGCGCAGTTCACAATTGGAGTGCAACTTTTGTCACTGAAGTAAGGATTTTCATCCCCTTCCACAAAATATTCAAATAAACATGTGACTCTGTGTCTGAAGATGTCCTCTTCAAGGTCATATGCTTTTCATCTTATGCTTAGGTTTAGACTGCTTAGGCTTAGATGATCTTCAAGCTTCAGGCTCAGAAGCAGGTTCACTTGGCAATTACCTGTATCACCAGTCACCCGATCATCGTTTAATGACTCGAGCGAGCACCAACAATACTTTTCTTTTCCCTAACAAGTTTAAGAGTAGCTCAGTAAGTCCTTCTTGGTCTAGAAATTCATTGAGCATCATAACTTCCTTCTAAACTTTTTGTTGAGAAGCTCGAACATTAGGTCAACAACTGTCCTGTGGAGTGCTTGACATCCTGAGGAATCGAGTGGGTTACGATTCTCTTCCATCAGTTCTGGCTAAAGCGCATTACATGTCCGACACAACTTATTTTGGGTAGCCTGGCTTGTAGATCGGCATCTCTGATGTTCTGTCGTTGATGTAGGTCAAAATTCGGATAATTTCTCTTATTTGCGGGATACAGATTCTCCTAGCATCAACGTTACGATTGCGCGCTCAACAACACCATGTTACCTTTCATCCTGCTAGCGCAGCAACCACGTTTCTGATGCATACGTTAGGGAGGGATAAACGTTAAGTCGAAAAAATGCTAATGGAGTCGGATGTTCTTTGTCTTCTTCAACAGGTTCTCGATGCTCTCAACCAATCCGCAAGCCACTTGCTTCTTGCTAATATCACTCCGAAGTCGGCGTATTACTAGCAAACTTGCCTTAGAGGATAGCAGCACTGACTCAACATATTTGATGCCTAATGAAGTCCAATGCATGGTTCACCCTCAGAGACTGATCAATGTTAAGAACCATACACTTCTCAATCTGTCACGTTTAGCCAGGTGTGATACATTGTTCTTTTGATTACCCTATATTGCTCTGCTTTGCATGCACAATGTCTCCCACCATGAACAAAGACAAACACCATCTGAACAACAAAGTCTGCCAAGCAAAGCTATTCTGGTGCCCTTATAACAGAAGCCCATTGTAATTAATGGGTCAATTTTCAGACTAATGCAGTATTTGAAAATATTTTCTTCGCATATCTCAGCTTAAATTGAACTCTAATCACTAATAAAATTGAAAGTACTCACTATCCATACATTTTTACCCATGAAAAATGGGAATTCTTTTCATTTGACCGATACCTGCGGTGGTATGATGTTGCCATATACCTACTAATGTGGAGTTCTGTGCAAAACAATTGTGTCAGCCGGGAATTGAACCCAGATCTCCTTCCGGGAGCGTATGCTATCCGTTGCACCACCGACGCTGGTTTTGCACACACCCTTTTTACGCTACAATGCGTTTATCTGTCAACAGCTGAGCGAGAACGAGTGAGATCGCGGTTCGAATCTCAGCTGACGCAAATATTTTTGCAAAGCACTCCACATTATTAGGTATATGAAAAATGAATTTGCATATTACGGCTGTGTGAAACAGGAAAGTCGCAGGCGATGAAGTTGTTAAGAGCAGATCAGTCTAGACTTCCTTCGAAACATTTTTGCACAAGTAGATACTGAGGTGCTCGAAGATCTGTTGCTCCGTAGAGGAAAGTCTGCTTTATGAGCCAGTGTTACAAAGCGCACAACTCGCTCAACCATGCAGCGTCCGCTTTGCGGCGTGCTCTCAATGTATACGGCATTCATTTAATGACATAGATGGGCCTTTTAATCCTTCAGATTTTCCGGAACAGGTGAAAAGCCTATGTTGAGTTTTCTGTAAAATCTCAAAAAGCTGTGTATTCACTACATCTTTTATCAGGCTCTTCAATTTATCGTCGTTAATACAGGACGTTCAAAACCTTCATCTCATCAAAACCGAACTTCCCACGATGAATTTTTCCGAACTAACATTGGCAATGTGTATTTACTTACACTTCCTAGGGCCCCATGCGTGATCATTGCTTGAGCCATTTGCCTTTCCTAAACCCGAGTTTGTCGAAAGTGTTGTTCTAAGTGCCATCTTCATCGGGAATCTGTTAGCAGTATTTTCCCCATTTTGATTCAACAATGCAAAGCTGGAACAAAGGAGGGAGAAAGGCAAAAGCGAGCGTGGCCGAGTGGTTTTGATGCTCGTTATGGGGTCGGTCCCCACCCCTAACCTCTCCGGTATCACCTGTCACCTGTCACCTGGCAGCCCCCTTGATCGTCGAGTGACTCGAGCAGGTACCAGCAACTCTTCCATTTTTTCCTATCGCGTGCAAGAGTAGCCCAGTCAGTCTTCCTCGCTCTAGGGAATCGCTGAGCATTATATCTTTCTTCTATCGCTTTCGTGAAGAAATCGGACCAACGGGTCAGTTGTCTTCCTTTAGGGCGCTTGACGTCATGAGGAATCCAGTCGGTAACCGCTCTCGTCCATTGGTTGTCGTTGAAGCGCATTACGTGTCCGGCCCACCTTATTTTCGAAATCCTCGCGTGTAGAACGGTGTCTCTGATTTTCGATCGTTGACGTAGGTCGGAATTTCGAATCCTTTCTCTCATTTGCGAGATACGGGATACTCCTAGCATCGACCTTTTGAATGCGCCTTCGATAACGCCAAGTGATCTTTCATCCTGCTTACGTAGCGACCAGGTTTCTGCTGCATACGTTAGGGCAAGGATAATTGTCGAGTCGAAAAGGTGAGCACGGAGTCGGATGTTCTTTGTCCTCTTCACTACATCTTCGATGCTCTTAAACATTCCCCAGCTGCTCGTTTCCTCCTGCTCAACTCTGGGGCTGGGTCGTTCATCATGTTGATTTCACAACCTAGATAGACGTAACTGGAGCAATCGGAGATTGTCGTTCCGTTGAGAGTGAATGGGGCATTCGAAACCCATCCGTCCCTTATGAACATCGTGTTCGTTAGATTTGGTTGAACCCCATCTTTCACAGGCGTTATCGAAATCGGTCAATATTCGTTCCGCTTGACTGATATTTGGTGTTATAAGAACGATATCTTCAGCAAAGCGAAGATGGTTCAATTGTCGACCGTCAATTTTCACTCCCATAGCGCCCCATTCTAATGTTCGCATGACGTTTTGTAGGGTGGAAGTGAATAGTTTTGACGAAATTGTATCGCCTTGTCGCAAACCCCTCTTCTTAGGTCAATGGTGATATTGTTGTAGAATGGAGTTATTTGGTCGTTAAATCTTTATAAAGCTCACGAAGGATCATTATATACCGAATAGGGACGCCCTGGTTATCAAGAGCCTCGATAACCCTTCTGTTTCCACTGAATCAAAGGCTTTCTCCAGATCGGTGACAGTGAGACAGAGTGTTTGCTTGTACTCTCGTGAAACTTCAGTGAGTCTTGTAATCGTGTGAATGAGGTCTATGGTACTAAATCCATTTCGGAACTCTGCTTGTTCGCATGGCTGTCCTTCGTCCAGTGTTCTGTTAATCCTGTTTAGGATGACTCGAGTAAAGAGTTTATAGACAACGGACAGCAAGCAGATTGGGCGATAATTGCCTATGTCGTGAAGGTCCCCCTTTTTGAACAACAATACGGTCTTGCTGGTTTTCCATTAAAAGGGACCTTGCATTCTGACAGGTAGCGAGTGAAGAGCCAAGCCACGGTGTTGATGAGAACTGGCGGCAGGTTCTTCAGGTGTACTGGTCTAATCCTGTCTGGACCGGGTGTTGTTCCGTTTTTCACCGACGATATAGCATGTCGGATTTCGGAAGGGAGGACCGGTGGAACGACATATTCGTCCTCTTTCATTTTATATGACGATAAGAGGACATGGCTAGCGAAGAGATCCGAGTAGTATTGGTGGATGATTTTCTCCATAGCCCTTTTCGAAGCTGTAAGTGTCCCGTCAGGGTATCGGAGTGCAATCATCTTGGTCTTCTAGTTGGCGAAGCCTTGCTGCGCTTTGCGAATGCTCTTCCCAGCTTCTGCAGCTTCTGCCATAACTGCTGTTCTTCTCTCTTTAAGGTCGTCTTTTATCGCTTCTCTGCAGCGTTTCGCAAGTTTGGACGTGAAGTTTTGGTTGCCTGCAGCTCGTTCGATTCCACGTTGAAGTATCAGCTCGAGTGTCTGCCGAGACAAGCGTCTCTTCATGACCTTAGGGCTCTCGGCTTTCATAGCGCTAACGTGAAGATATCCAACTAGCCGATCGTATTCTTCGTCAATGTTATCGAGAACGGTATCTTTCCAAGAACCGACTAATGATTTAAATACGTCCCATTCATAGTAGTTCTGAGACTTCGTTGTTTGAATTTAGCGGCTTTCTCTCCTCTCCTCGAAAAACGGAACGTTTCGCGAAGGAGGCGATGGTCTGATCCCGTGAAGAACTTAGGAACAACAGCGACATCGGTCAGGCAAAACCTTCGACTTGCTAAGACGTGATCTATTTCGTTATGGTACTCTCCATTGGGAGACTCCCACGTCCATCGCTGAAAAAGAGGCTTTTGGAATTGCGAGTTACCATGGATGGTTTGAGTCGTCATGATAAATTCAGATAGCCTCTCACCCTGTTTCATTCCATTCCATTCCGTAGGTCCCTATGTGGCGTTCTTCAGACGTTCTTCTAGGCGCAATTTTTGCATTAAAATCACCGACGATGACTTTGAAGAATGTATGATCTTTTCTGAAGAATTTTTCAAGGTCCATATAGAACGCTTCGACTTCGTCTTCGTCATAGCTTGATGTTGGTGAGTAAGCAACGAAGATGGTCAACGCGAGCATAGAACCACATCGTTTCAACCGTAATCGTCCGATACGGGTTGATAGTGATCAAACGAATCAATGCTCACGGTCAAATTCGATTTGACGAGGACGCCAACGCCGCCGATACCTCTGCGATCGCACGTACCAAAGAACAGTTCTTCTCCGGTGTCATAAACAGCGTGAAAAGGATGGCGCGTTCTCGTCTCAGCCAGGCCAATGACGTCGTACCTAGTTCTTCTTGCTTGAATCAATAGATCTTCTACAGCGTATTCGTGAGAAGGGGTTCCTGCGTTTTCGATACAGATCGTCATTTTAGTCCATTTCATCTTGGCAGCCTAGTTCGGCCCTGAGATTCTAGCAGCCTCTCCGTACTCGTCCTACCTGGCGCTGCCGTACCAGGGGCTCTTTCGGTGTCAGAGTAATGAGGCCCATAATTGTTACTGTTTTTGGCATTTTGATACCCAACGTATGGCTTGCGAGGCTCTAAACGTGGGTGGTGGGTACTCACGAGTAGCTTGCCAGTCTCGGAGGAGCGGGAGGAGCTTATTTGTTGGAGGCAACTCCTAACCGCCTCCCATGTACTTCCCAGCCGCTTGATTGCAAGCTTTTAGCCGACTTGACTCGTAGACATAGAGTTTTTGTCAAGCCGGCGCTGCAGAAGCAGGGGTGCTCCTCCCTGAATCCACGCGCGTCTCTGGGAAGCATACGGTTGCTTTTGGTTCGCGTTTATTCCCCTATCCACCACCTGGGGACGCGCCACGTGCCCTCGCGACTAACCGGGCGGCATCCCTCAAAGAAGGAGGTCCGTGGACCTCTCCGGTATTCAATGACAATCGCGCCACCGTGGCTGTCCTTGAAATTGCAAGAAAATGTGCTCAACCAGTATTTTACGATGTTTCATATAGATGAAGAAAAACATCGAAAAAACTGTGATACGGATCAAGTAAAGCGGTAATCTAATAAAAGAAACAAATCAAAGCGAGGACTGACCTCACTCGTCGAATACTGGAAGGTAGCATATAGCGCTGCTAGCTGAGAACCTACCAAACTAATGACTCCGCCAATAGACTAAGATTATGCTGTTGACATCCTCAGAACCATGGACTTGCAAAGGTCACTCGCAGTGCGCAGCTCTTCCTCCTCTTCAGCATTTATCTGTACTTGCATGAATACACCGATAGGTTGATGCTGCTTTTATGAAAAAATCGAGATTTCTCCGCGTTAAGAATATTTTGCACATTTTTTTCAAATCACGGATTTTCAGTGTTGCCTTGGTCTGCTGAAAAAGAGAATCACGCGTTTCGGCAGAAATGCAACACATGCATATGAAATTATAGAAGCCACTTCATTTCACAATTTAGCAGCTTCATTTTTGTTTCGGGGCTTGCGGCCAAGTGGCTACTTTTCCTCCATCCTCGAACATTCTCCGCCAATCACTAACGAACGCCACACCGAACTACTCAGTCTGGCAATCCTCGAATTTACAAGATGTGCTCAAACACTATTCTACGATGTCAACCTTTTATATACGGTAATCCTACGGCGCCTAAGCTTAGACTCGTCGCCGTGTGGAGCGGCAGTACTCCGCAATGCCGAGTGATTAATTAGGCCGACCATCG